TATACTTTAAGGGTGTCTGGCAGAGGGTTGGAACCGTACGAAGTGTCTGGCTTTCGGCAAGATGACTTTTGGGATTATTATAAGTAAAATATGTAAAAACTGAGTTTTATATTTTACCAAATTTAACACACAATTTTACACACCTTTATTACCTGATACCTGCGAAAGCCACCGCGACCCAAGTTACATAGACGGGATTCGTTCTTACCTGTGTTGGGGACATACATTGAGAAACTTACAAGTTTTATACTTTACCGAAGGTCTGCGGGCCGCTGGCTCTTAGACTACAACGAGTATGCAAGGAAAATCAACAGAGCCTGAAACTTTATCCGAGAATATTCTGAAATTACATATAATTTTTAAAAATAATTTCTTATACTATTATATAAAGCGGAAGAGTTTGTCTTTTTGTTTGTTTGTTTGAACGCGCTAATCTCCGTAACTACAAGTCTGATTTGAATAATTCTTTTTGTGTTGGAAGCGCATTTATCGAGGATGGCTATAGGCTATAAAACATCACGCTAAGACTAGTAGGAGCTGAGCAGAACGTGTGAAACCGCGCGGAAGTAGCTAGTTACATATAATTTTAAAAAATAATTTGATGTGTAATTAAATAAATACAAAATTTAATTACATACATAATTTAACTGAAATATTTACTATTGTGCAAAAATATAAGATAAAGATGATGACATAGCAAAATGTACCAAACCAGGGAGACGGACTAGAAGAACTCAAAACTCTGAAATGCCAACTTCCCCGGGCATATAAACAATGTCTTCCTATAACAAAACAAAAAAAGAAAGATCTTTTACAGCTTTGTAAGAAAAATAAAATTCCTAAAAAGCTTCATGGCTGGTACGAAGGTTTACCATGTTTAACCCGGCAGCACTCGCTACTGGGTAAAAAATACCACAGAGTAACTAAATCACGTGATATTTTTATTACAAAAAATTGTGGCAACTCGCGACTTTAAGTACCTTAACATTTCGAAATCAGAGATCATTATGTTTTAAAATGGACAAAATGGTACAAAGATGCTTGTTATTAATTCTGATCTTACAACATCTCTTTCAAAAACCTGTAGAAGCTCAACCATTGGATTATGGGGAAGGAGATATCATCCGAATAACAACACCTGTACTTACAAGGAGCACTTGTCGATAATTATAATAAGAAATTAATATTTGAAGAATAAGAAATTAATATAATTATTATGATATATCATTTGCCGGGACCGATTTGCGAAGGCAGATCTTGTTCGACTATGTTCGAAGCCTGGAATCTTCTTTTTTCAGAAACGTGTTTACAAAAGATAGTCCAGTACACTGTCGCGGAGAACCTAACGGGTAACCGGGGCTCCGACTCGACGTGCAGGAGAAGGAATGGGGTGGTTTTTAGTCAGTAAGAGTCTGACACTCCCTCCCGCCTCACCCAGGCGGGGGCAGTCATTCGATGATTTTCCCCCCTTAAAAAAAAAAAAAAAAAAAAAAGTCCAGTACACTAACGTTTATATAGAAGAGTTAAAGTCTAAATTCTCAAGAATACGCGATTGTAAAAGTACAGATATCGTTGAACTTAGATCTCTTTTTGGATTACTTTATTTCTGCGGAAGATTGCGAAGTGGCACCTGAACACAAAAGATCTCTGGGAAAAAGATGGAAGTGATTCCGACGCCTGTATAGCTACTATGTCATGAGAAAGGTTCCATTTCTTACTGCAGAGTTTACGGTTTGACAATATTCGTACACGAGGTGAAAGAAGGCAAACAGATAAGTTGGCGCCCATTCGCGAGATTTTCGAAGAGTTCAATAATAATAAAAAAAATATTATGCTTTGGGCGAAAATGTAACCATCGATGAAAAGTTGGAGAAGGCAAGGTTTCTCCAACCAATCGCCGTTGCCCATTTCGGCAATACATACCCAGCAAACCTGGTAAGTATGGTATAAATATATTTGTTATGGCTGGCGCACGAACTTTCTATAGAAATAATATGGAAATTTAAATATTAATGAAGATATTTTTAATTTCTTTCTTCTTTCGTCCGATCCGCTTATTTCTGCAGTAAGACCAACGATGGATGCAAAGAAAAAGAAACCTTTGTTTGATGAAACATTGGATCTGCTGAATCTTCAAACACCTGAATTCGAGTTTAGGGATATTGCTCAAATAAATTCTGACTCTGAGTTCGACTCTGAAGATAGTGATTCAGAATAGGCAATATTTTTAAATTATATATTCATTGTTTTATTTAAGTTTATCATATATTTTCATAGTCATCATTTTAATATTCGATTTTAATGAGATGTCATTCATTTATTGTATTTCTAGTACTACTAACAACAAAATGTTGACAATCAATAACAACAAATCGAGCCGTTACCGCCAAACTATCGTAAGCGACACTTTTTTCAAAAAACCGTTTTTTATCGAAATTAGTATTTCAGACCGTAACGGACCTATCCCTGTTGGTGTTTCCCGCCAAAAAAAAACCGTTGCAGAGTTATAGCAAGTGCTAAAATTATCGTGCATACACATTGTTTCTAAAACTTAGCGTAAGCGACACAATGCATTTTATCGTAAGCGACATTAGCGCGCCACCGTAGGCGTTTACTATAAACAAACCTGTAGTGACATGTTGTTTATTTCCGCAAAAGTTCTGATGCAACAAACATCGCTCCCGTTGTTTTGATTGTAAAAAAATAGATTTACGCATAAAAACGTTTTAAATAGTGTTTATTATTGTGTAGTTAATGTGTTAATTCAATTAGAAGTGTACTTCGAGAGGAAACTCAACAGTAATTTATCAAATAAATCAGCAATGTCGACTCCAGCAGCGAAGGTATGTATTTTGTATTAATTTTGGTACTTAAAGTAAGAATAATTAAATACTTACGTGTATCATTTATGCCTTGCCCGTTATAATATTATTTCACCTAAAATTATTGGTGTGTTGGTTAAAATTTGTTAAATTAGGTTCGTACTGCGTCTATTTTACCTAAGTTAAAATCACAAAAACTAAAGAGAGCATTACAGAAAATTCCTTAACTATCTCCCAAAGGTGGTTTCACACATTGTATGTAATTGGGCTATATTTTATTGGTTGTAACTTTTAATTTTGGTTAAGATTGTATTAAACAGCTGATCGAGTTTTACAAACTTATAAGCAAACTTGCGAATCGAAAAAAATACTCAAAATCTATAGATCAAAAATGTGTTATTTACCTAAGAAATCCACCACAGATACATCGTTAAAGTGTTTTCATTAACCTCGTTTACCCATATTTGTTATATTTACATAGTTGATACTAATATTGATACTAATACTATAAAGCTGAAGAGTTTGTTTGTTTGTTTGATCGCGGTAATCTCAGGAACTACTGCTCCGATTTAAACAAGTTTTTCAGTGTTAGATAGCCCATTTATCCAGAAAGGCTATAAGCTGTAAAACAACACGCTACGACCTATAGGAGTCGAGCAGCGGGTGAAACCACGCGGGAGTAGCTAGTATATAATAAAGTTGCAGCATGCGTCTGTCTGTCTGTCGGTTTAAATGTTTACGCATTATGTGATCATTTTTAAGATAATTACTTGTTTGTTACAGTCACGGATGAAGAAAATTATGCAGCTAATAACACCACCACTCCCCGCGCAAGAAAGTTATCCTGAAACTGCTTTTACCGAGAACATACAGCAAGATACAGAGTCAGTTTTGGATTCATACTTGCCACCAGGCAACAACAACGAAACTGATATAGAATCAATATTGAGTGGTGCAACATCACCATCCATAGTCGATTTTATTTGTAATACCGATTTAAATTTTGAGCAAAATACCAACTCATGTACGACATTGCCTTCAACTAAACTTGTTGAGTACAGCGATTCTGATACTGACAATTCTTACACTCTAATGGATTTAGATAATCAAAATGAAATACCACATGTAGACATAACAAAAAATGGCCAAACTAATTTAGAGGACCCTGCTATGTCAACTTTCTTTAATCGATTAATAGAGCCTAGCACCAGTTCACTGTCTGACCAACAAGAGCAAAACGTGTTAAGGAAGTCCTTCGAGTCCCACAACGTTAGTGATTACATTGATAGTGAAGAATCATGGAAGCCAGCCTCATCGTCTAGTGGTTCAGATGAAGATGAGTCAGCTCAACAAATTGAAGAAGAAACGAGTGTTGGTAAGAGTGTTGGCAATTATTATTATAATTTTAATTTTGTTTTATTGTAATTTTAATTTTAATTTATTGTAATTTTCATTTTATTTTATTGTAATTTTTAATGTAATTTTCATTTTATTTTATTGTAATTTTCACTTTATTCTACTGAAATTCTCATTTGTAAATTTGTGATTGTTGTGTTACTATGGGTTCCTATGCCTGAAATAAATGTATTATTATAGTATTATTAAAAGAGGATATAGGAAAATAAAACCTTTACCAAAACGTCGATTATCAAAAAAAAAACGCAGTGCGGCTATGGGGAAATCTGTTCAACCTAATCCTTGCATGAATAAAAGATGCGGTAATTCATGTGCAAGTAAATTTACTGAAGACGATCGTACTAATATTTTTGAAAACTATTGGGGATTAGGTTGTGCTAAAAGACAGAAAGATTTTCTATTGTCATGTGCTAAGGAGAAACCAATTGGCAGAAAAAGAGCTAATAGTAATATTCGCACAAAATCATATGATTATTTTATAAACTACAATGGACAGAGTATTAAAGTATGTCAACAATTTTTGCTTAAGACCCTAAACATATCCCAAATGTCTTTGAGATACACCCTTGAAAATGCCAATACCATTTTGAATACCACTCTAGAAGGCAGCAGAACCCGTCATCCTCATAATAAAGCTGGTGAAGTGGAAGTTGCACAGATAAAATCGTTTATTGAGATGTTGCCCGCAGTTCCATCCCATTATTGTCGCAATAAAAGCACAAAAGTCTATTTACCTCAAGAGTTTCAGAACCTATCGTTTCTGTATACACTGTATGTTCAACATTTGAAAGAAAATAATCTAGAATCATCCATTTTATCAAAAAGAGTATTTCGTCATATATTCAAAACAGATTTTAATATCGGATTTCATTTGCCTAAAAAAGATAAATGTATGTTTTGTGAGAAATACAAAAATTTGCCATCTGAAAACAAACCAATTTTTGAACAAACCATTGAATATAAAAATCACATGCTGGATAAAGAAAAATGCAAGCTACTGTTTTTAGAAGATCAAAAAATTTCCAAAATAGCGGATTCTAACGCCTTATGCGTGAGCTTTGATTTACAAAAAGTCCTGAATACGCCACATGGTAAGAGTGTGACCTTATATTACTCAAGAAAATACGCATATTACAATGAAAGTATCTATGAAAGTGGCACAAGGAATGGATATTGTTATGTGTGGGGTGAAAGCCAGGGAAAAAGAGGCTGTAATGAAATAGTTACAGTTCTTTTTAATTATTTGAATATGTTAGATCAAAAAGGTACCCATACTATCGTCAATTTATATTCTGACAGTTGTGCTGGGCAAAATAGAAATCGTGCTATGATATCCATGTTAATTTATTTTTTGAAAACTGCAAAAAATATTACTCAAATAAAGATTACTTATCTTTTACCTGGACACACCATGATGCCTGTTGATTCTATTCACAGCACCATTGAAAGTTTTGTTCGTAATAGAACAGTATGGGCTCCATCTGAATGGCCGACTATGATTACTAATGCCAGATCTAACCCTAAAGGCTACGTAGTAAATGTTTTAAATTATGGAGACTTTAAGGATTGGAAGTCCTATTCACAAGCTTTATTACCAGCCAAATTCAAAATAAATTTTAATTCGTTGAGAGTGGTGCATTTTCACAAAAATAATCCTGTTGTTTTATTCAAATATGGATTTTCCGAAGATTGTGAACATAATACACTTAACTTGGACTTCGTCATAAGATCAAGAGCAAGCAATGCTATTGTACAAAAAGGACCCGCACCCTTATACGACAACGAGCTCAGTATTTCAGCAGCTAAATACAAAGATCTAAAGGAGCTATGTAACAAAAATGTAATACCAAACAGATACCATGAAGAATACTTGAGTTTGAGGCATAATGAAACCATACGTGACACTTTACCTGAAACGGATGAAGATGACTCAGATAAGGAGAATTGAAGTTCTCAAATGTTTTTCTAGAATATCTTTATTTTTAATAATATTATACCTACATAATATTTTGATTTAAAACCACGATTATTGAATCGTGATTCACTTATTGAAGTGGCGTTAATTGATTTGTACAAGAAGAAATTTCTCATTTCATTTTATAATCTTAGTAATAAGTATGTATAAGTTAATTTGATTTCATTGTTCCTCACGATTACTAAATTAATAAATATTTTTTGATTATTATGTGGATATTTCATTTAAAAACCTTTTAAAATGGCATTTTTTTAACAATTACAATTTCTCGGACATAGTAATTTTGATAGGTAATTTTATCGTAAACGCCCGAATATCTATATACTGTGACAGCAAAAATATTGTAAGCACCATAATTCGCTTAAATACTAATTATTTTTGTTTTATTTTCAGTCGTATATTTAGATATCTAAAAATCATTAACGTATGTCATTTTTCATGTTATTAGCACACTTCTGATTAAAAATATTTAAAAAAAACCTTCTCCTGTAAAATTTGGTTTTTGTCGGTTACGCTAAAGTGGCGGTAAGGGCTCGAAATATTGTGATTAAAGTTTTAGTAATATTAAATTCATTAGTTTTTTTTTGTAAAGGTTGTTTTATTTGTTTATACTATATTATTGTATTCGATTTTGCTGCAGATTCGAAACAAATTAATTCTTCTAAACTAAGGTTATTTCATTAACACATTGTATAAATGAACTTACTGTAATTTCAAAGATTTTTAAGTACAAGAAGTATGCACTTACAATAATTATCTATGTATGACTATTTTAGTATTAGAAACTTTTAGATTACCGGGATAGAAAGTATCCAGTGTTAATCCAAGATGTCTGAATATCTGGGTGCAGAATTTCATCCAAATCGGTTCAGCCATTCCTGCATGATTAAATGGGGATTAGGGACATTAGGGTAAATGTTTTTATTGAATTTATAATATGACAGTCAATCTTAACTTTTCAGGAAAAACAAATATTACCCGACCTAGGACGGAAAAGACGAAAGACTTCCAGAAGCAAATCACAAATCTGAAGAAAATGGTTACTCGGATGAAAAATATAGAAGAGTCATTCAAAACCCGACTGGCAAGGGCAGAAAGAATTGCACGATCGTCTGTTAAAATAACAGGTAGTATGTCCAAGGCAGCCAAAATTTTTACTGGTTAACAATGCAGGTAGTCAGGAAAAAGCTCACGAGGTCGACGATTTAATGAGGAAGAAAAAGTACTTTCGCTTTCTTTACTGAAAAGGAGTCCAAAAAGTTATAACCTCCTCAGCAAGTATTTTTGTTTGCCATCTAAGAAGACACTGTTAAATGTTTTAAAAGTCGTAGAATTAGTTCCGTTGGTTAGTTAGTTTATAAACAAAAAAAAAAATTAAATAAAAGAAACAGTTTCAAAAATGAATGCCGAAGACCGTGTTTGTAGTTTGATATTTGACGAGATGTCAATAACTCCGAGCGTCTACTATGACAAATCAAGGGACGAAAATATTGGTTTCGAGCATCTCGGCACTTACAAGACCCATAAGTTTGCTGACCATGTCATAGTATTTATGATAAAAGGACTGAGATAAAAATTTAAGCAGCCAGTTGCTTATTACTTTAGCCTAAGTATGAAGTCTGTAGACTTAAAAAATATTGTAATAAATGTTATAAAACATATACAGTCCACTGGACTTCGGGTGCTAGTGACTGTCTGTGATCAAAGTGGAATAAATAGGGGAGACCGGGGATGGTAGGCTATAGGGGTAGGTTGACTAATCGGCAATAACACGTCAGGATCACGTGTTTTTCATAAGCCAATCACGATAAAGGATGCGTCCTCGCGTCCCTCAAACCTGTGTGAAGTTCGCGCGCACAGTCGCGAAGCGTGCTTGAGTGGAAACAGTTGTTGTGTTTTTTTATGCGGTAAGTAAATTTTTCCGTTCGTACATTTTTTTGTTATTGTCGTTATGTAACTATTTAAATCAATGTTACTGGTATGCCAAGTGGAAATATGATTATTACTTTCTATGTAACAAAGCGTGGCTTTTATTTTAACGTAATTGTTTAAAGATGCCATGCGGTTGAATTCCAAAATGGCGTATGGGGCTAGTTGGCCAATTTTCTTCGGGGTTGGTTGACTTATAACTTATAACCCCTTATAATAAAGTATAAAGCGATTTTGTAGGCTAATGGTTATTACAAATCTATTCTTGAAACAAAATTTAGCACTATGACGGTCTTCTTTCACATAATTAATAATAGTTGTATAATTCCAGATAATGAGGACGTATAAAAAAACCACCGAAAGAGTGGAGACACCAAAATGTGTACTAGAAAAAGCTTGTCACGACGTAATCTTCGATAACAAAAGCATTTACTCCATATCAAAAGCATACCAAGTTCCATATAAAACATAACATCGATATGTAACCAAACTAGAAAGTAATCCAAATCTTACAAGAGCTGACTTGACCTTGGATACGGTAGGGTATATTAGAAATAGACAAATATTCAATGATAATGAAGAAAATAAACTTGCTGATTATTTGAAGAGGGCTGCTGATATATACTATGGACTAACACCCCATGAAACACGAAAATTTGCATACGAATATGCAAAAAAGAATAACAAATCAGTACCTGAATCTTGGAACACAAAATTAATGGCTGGTGAAGACTGGCTAGGAAGTTTTCTTAAGCGTCATCCCTCGTTATCTATAGAGGTAAGATCACCTCAAGCTACAAGCCTGTCTAGAGCGACGTCGTTCAACAAAAAAAATGTAAGTGAGTTCTTTACTAATTTGAAAAAAGTTTATGAACGCAAAAAAATTAGCCCAGGTAATATCTGGAATATTGACGAGACAGGAGTTACAACAGTCCATGTACCTAATAGAGTTATAGCTTGTCGGGGTATTAAAAACTTGGGTAAAATGACTTCAGCTGAAAGAGGCACCTTGGTTACAGTGGCAGTAGCCGTTTCAGCTCTTGACAACATGGTTCCACCATTTTTTGTTTTCCCAAGAGTTCATTTTAAGAATCATTTCCTTGCCGCGGGCCCAATAGGATGCGATGGAGATGCAAACCCATCTGGGTGGATGAAGGAGATAAATTTCATAAAATATGCCAAGCATTTTGTGAAACATGTGAAACCAAGTAAGGAAAAGCCTATTTTGCTGCTGCTGGACAATCACGACTCTCATTTGTCGATAGAGGTTCTCGAGTACTTCAAAGATAATGGGGTGACAGTTTTATCCTTTCCCCCTCATTGTAGTCATAAATTACAACCTCTAGACAGAAGTGTTTATGGCCCGCTAAAGAAATATTTTAACAGAGCTAGTGACAACTGGCTAGCTAGTCACCCTGGAAAGACGATTACAATCTACGACATTCCGGAATTGTTAAAAACATCTCTGCCAATGGCAGCTACGATCGAGAACATACAATCGGGATTCAGAGTCACTGGGATTTCGCCACTCAATGAAAATATTGTTGTAATAAGGTAAATATTATAATCTTAAGTTAAATAATATAAGTAGCGCCATCTAGTGTCAAGTTGGCGAGTTTCTCATAGACGTCGATATGTCATCTGTGTTCTTCCCTTTTGTCGTCTGCATGGCGCCCATCATGTGCTTTCTGTGTGATTTATAATAAAACTACGAAATGTAACAAGCTACTATCTATTATTCAACCACATCCACCACTTCAACAAATATATTTCCGGAGTCTGAGTTTAGCGGAGCTTATGTGACTCATAGGCCACTACCAGACCCACAAAATGGTAGCATTTCCTCAACCGCAAGTAGTGCTAAACCAGGACCATCAAGTTCGTTGGATAATGCAGGCCCCTCAAACATTGCAAGTACAGCTGCTATACCAACAAGTCCAATAGTTACTTTACACCAAACTGTTGAGCTTCCTATTGAAAGGTCTTCTGTGTTGCCTGGTAGATCAAGGTCGTCCAGTACTGATTGCGAATCACCTTCTATTCTTGATGAAAAACACGTACCAGAAGAACCAGTGATAGAAAACACACTTTTGTCAGGTATTAGAGCTCGTTCATTTGTAACACCACCACTATCAGGAACCAATCAAGACATACCTTCACAAACTGAAAAACGTCCATTTATAACACCACCTCCATCCGGATCTAATCAAGATATACTCCCACAGACTGAATCACGCCTATTAGAATCTGGATCTAAGAAAGGTTTTCTTCTACCCGAGGATATTCGACCTTTTCCGCTCAGGAAAAGCAGCAGCTCAGGAAATAGAAAAAACATTAGGAAACGAAGAAGCACCAGCACGAAGTTTGCAACGAATTTAAAACTAGGATCTTAAATTGCATCCATACAAGCTGCAATTAACTCAAGAATTGAAAGACTCTGACTTCATAGCACGGCTCACATTTGCTAATGAAATGCTCAATCAATTTCTAAACAATGTTAAGAACCTTATCTAGATGTAATTCGATCAAAATACATATGGTTTTTTTTTAATTGTTGAAATTGATTGTTAAATTAGTATATCATCATGTTTCATGTTTTCCTCAAGACATATACTTCTCTGTTTTTAATAAAACTTAAGCCTAATGCTCACCACAATTTGTACGCCTCCGGGTATAGAATAGCGCTCTTTTTTATTACCATATATAAGACCTATATCTGTATGCACCTATGTTAACAAATAAAAGTGAATCGGTTTTCAAATTTTGAAAACATCCTTTTCTCTGATGAGGCACATTTTCATATGAATGGGTTCGTAAACCGCCAAAATTGTCGTTATTGGAATAGTGAAAATCCCAGACTCAAACATCAAAAACCGTTACATAGCCCTGAAGTGACAGTTTGGGCCGCAATATCTGCCAAAGTAATAATTGGTCCTTATTTTTTTGAAAACGCACGGGGGCAAAACATAAAAAAAAATACCGAACGCTATTTTTTTATGTTTGGAAGGTTTTTTGGCCCAAAAAAATGAAAATTCAAGAATTTTTTTCTCTAGGACTTGATTCCAACAAGACGGAGCAGTCACACATCAAATGACTCCATGGCGGTTGTGAAGCAGATGCTCCCTGGCAAACTGATTTCGAATTTTTTTGATATCCCATGGCCTCCGCGCAGTCCAGACTTGACGCCTCCTGACTTTTTTTTGTGGGGATACCTCAAACGCAAAGTCTACACCAATAATCTGAGAAACATCAGTCAGCTCAAGGAGAATATTCGTGGTGAAATGGCAGCAATCACACCAGCACTACTTAAGAAAGTTTTCGGTAATTTCCGTTTGCGGTTAGAGGAGTTTTTTTGTAGAGAGGGTCATCATTTAGATGATGTTTTTTTTAAAAAATAATTTTTTTTT